AAGGGACGCAGGCTTGGAAAGGGGAGACCAGATGTCTGGACTCGCGCACCGTCTCGATGTACTCGGACTTGTTGTAGAGCAGCTCGCCCAACTCCATGGCCGCCACCTCCTTCCTACAGCTCCGGATCCTGTCAGTCTGTCAGGTAATCTCTCTGAGACGCCGGCTACTTCCGGTCGCTTCTCCACTTCCGGTCTCTTCGCCAGCTCGGCTCTCCTCTAGGCGGCCCCGCTCTATTGCTCGGCAGTTTCCGCTGCGCGTGCGCAGGCCAAGGAGTGGATTTAATTGGCCAAGGCTTAGGGCGCGCCTGGTCCGCTTGGGGCAGCTGGTTGCGCGCGGAGGGGATCTCCGGTTCCCCGTTCCATTTCGGGGCGCCTCCCGGGTCCAGGGCCAGCTGGGGCCCGGAGCCCGCAGGGCTGGAGCCGGCGACGGCTGCTCTTTTCGTTCGGCCGCCTGCCCAATGGACGAGCCTCCCGGGAAGCCCCTCAGCTGTGAAGAGAAGGAAAAGGTGCCTGGGGGTGCGGGAAGGGTGGACGCAGGACTCTGACCCCGCTTTCCTAGGTTTTTAGGCCTGACTTTGTTTCCTCGGCCGTCCGAGGGCAGCACTGTCCTCTCACCTACCCTCTTCTCAGGGCTCAAGGGGCACAGAAATGAAAGTATAGAAAACTAGCGCGGTACTCACGTGGCGGCGTTTAAAGAACAAATATGTATTACAGTAGCAATGCATAAATACAAAATGTAAAACTTTATGGATAAAGTCCCCTTTGACACTTTTCCTCCTCCTACACTCTCAATCTTCATTTCTTTCACCCCATCCCCTCAAGTAAATCATCTAACAGTTTGGTACTTCCAGATCTTTTCGTGTGTTTTTGTGTGTCTGTGGTGGGGGAGGAGTGTATCCCTAAGCACCAAAAAGTAATACTGTTATGTATTTTCTGGAGAGGAGAATGTTCATAAATGGTATGATCTGCATGGTTCTGCAACGTCTGTTTTTCTTCCCCATGTTTAACATCCGTGTTGGGACATATTTACCCTACTTTAAAAAAAAGTTCCATATAGTATTCTATAGTTTGAAAGTGCCCTCGTTTCTTTTCATATTATTCCACTAATAGACTTTTAGGTCGTTTCTAGCTTGTGCTGATGTTAGCTTGAATGTATCTTGTGCTTGCTGTGCTAAACTGTGTTAAACTCATTCAATTAAATCATCAATCTTCTTATCCTGGCTTACCTTCTAATTGGGGGGGGAAGATCATTTACAAGTAAACAAGATAATTCTCAGATATCAATAATGTTGGTAGAAAGCAGGCAAGCGTAAGGGTTAAGGGCACAAGACTCTAGAATCCTGCTACTTGCGGTTTGAATCATGTCATTTATAAACTGCATGATTTTAGACACATTGCTTTGAAACAAATTTATGTTTCAGGTTGCTTATATGTAAAATAGGGATGATAATATTAATAATAAAATCTACTTATTAGGATTATTGTGAGTGTTAAATTATAGAAGTGTTAATATGTAGAAGTCACTTAGAAAAGTCCCTGGCACCAACTGAGGCACGTTATAAAAGTATCAGCTATTTTTATTGTTGTGTGTTTGAGAATGAGTAGGGATAGAGGTGACTCCTTTAGTACTAGAAGTTCCGTGGTAAACAGAATGCTGGAAAGAGAAAAATTAAGTAATTAAGAAAAAAAATCACACAGTTGGCAATTTGTCTATTAGCATGTTTTACAGTTAGTAGGATTTTTTTAAGGTAGGTTCTGAGGTTAGAAATCTTGGTGATGTTTTATTAGCTGAAGGATGAGGTGCCTCTAACAGGTGCCTCTAACAGGTTCCTAGAAAGCAGAAAAAACGGGTGGCTTTGCTGCCAGAGAATCCTTTGAACCACAGAAAACAAAGGGAATCTAAACTTTGAAAAACAGTAGTTTGACTCAGCCCATTTCATTTATTTATTTAGTAAATCTTTGTTGAATGCCTGCTGTGTTCCTGTCTGGGAATTCAGCAGTGATGGAACCAACTTCACTGGCCTTCTGTGTGTTCTTCAAATACACTTAGCCCGTTGCACTATGGAGCTTTTACATTTGTGGTTCTCTCTGCCTGGGATACCTTTCCCTCTAAAAAAGCTAGCTCCTTCCTCCTTCAGGTCTAGGCTCAAATGGTAGTCCTCAGAAGTGCCTTCCTGACCACTCTAGCTAAAGTGGTCCCATCAGTAGGCTAGTAATTCTCTAATATCATCCTGTTTATCTAGGTATTTATAACCCTGTAAAATCATCTTATCTGTTTATTTGTTTTCTTGTTTATTATCTGTATCCCTTACTGTATGTAGATTACCCTGACCACTCTATCTCTAGCATCTGGGATAAAAACTGACACACAGTGGGTGTTAGTTATTGTTCCAGATGCTAGAGATAACTGGACCATTAAATGACAAGAGATTCATTTGTCAAATGACTGAGGATGACAGCTCCTGCTACCTTTGAGGATCTTAGGGTGATGGGGAGAAACAGAGAAATAAATAACATTGTGTGGTAAGTACTGTGATAAGGGAAGCATAAAGCAGGGATAGAATGTCTAACCTAGATTTAAAAAAGGACCTAGAGGTCTACCCCAACAAAATAAAAATATAAGATAAGGCTTGAGGAATCAGTAGGAATTAGCAAAGGGAGGAAATGCTCCAGGTAATAAGAACAATTTGTGCAAAGGTCCTGAGATAGTAAAGAGCTTGGTGTATGTTGCTGACTTAGTGACTTAAAAAAAAAAAAAGCTTGGTGCTTTTTGAGACCTGAAAGTAGGTCAGAATGAACCAGTGCTATTCCTTTCACGGCATCTTGCCGAGGGACCCCTCTGAGCACTGCGTACTCATGTCTGGTAGTCACTGCATCCCTTCCCTCTGACTCTACCTTTCCATTTGCTCAGTTTTGTTGGTGTTTTTCTTCTTCCAGTTGAAGGAAAAATTAGCATTCTTGAAAAGGGAATACAGCAAGACACTAGCCCGCCTTCAGGTAAGTGAATTGTCAAATTAAGGTGTTATAATACATACTGTGTAAAAACAGTTCTTGACAATAATGAAGCTTTAAAGAAAATTTATTTCTTGAGCTGCTTTTGTTTTCTTTAGCGTGCCCGAAGAGCTGAAAAAGTTAAGAATACTATTAAGAAAACAGTAGAAGAACAAGATTGCTTGCCCCGGCAGGAAATCTCACCACAGCTAAACCACTCAGGTAAAGGTAGCCCATTCACTAATGCTTGCTTTATTATTCATTTCCCAGATATATTTGGCTGCTGTTCTTTTTCTCACAGACTCAAGATAAGGACTAGTAATAGACTCTTTTTACTTAACATAAAATCCACTCAATAAGCTATGCTTTCAGTTAGATTGTTTATTTGGTTGCTCTTTTTCCCTCTCAGCTTTTA